GATTTTTCTTTAAAAGTTTCTTTTTAAGTACCCCTTGCTTTTAAAAATTACTCTGGAGTTCAGGCTTGGCCTGTCTTCCTCATTTTTACTGGTAACGTGAAAGAAAACCAGCACAATTTATTTCACCCATTCTCAGCAACTCCTTCAGGGCCTTTTCTGTCCTAGTTCCCCCAGTTCATAGATGTTTTTCCATCTTTTAGGGTTTGGGCAGATTTAATTGGACACTTGCTAGCACAACTCCATTCCACTCAGCTCAAGTTTCTGCCGCCGTCGCCATCACCGAAATCTCTGAACGTCAGCACCAGTGACATCAGCATCAGAAATTCAGAGCAGGATCAGAGTTTCACTTTGAAACAAGGAAACCAGAGAGTCCTGAACTCACTGAGCAGTCCCAGAGCACATCACCCTGCCACAAACTCTCTCCCTACCTGCCACTGACCCACGAACATTTGCATTATTCATCGTCACTAAACGTGTTTCTTCCACCAGCTGGTGGCATTTAGTGAGTGCAGAAGGAGGGAGACTTGCTAAATTTTAACAGCTTTCCCAGGTACGTACAGAGCCCTTCTTGGTTCTTTGCAACACTTCAGTACAGGTTATGAATCTATTTCTTCAGTGCAACAATAAATGAAACAATACTACGTGATGAAATGTTACCTTGTCATTGTCTACCACCCCACCCCCCAAAAAAAAGAAAACAACACAAATAAACAATAAAAATACCCTGAAAACATAACATCCTAGGCATTTAAAGTTCAAAAAGTATCTTTTCAGCTTTTCAGAAGTCATGCCTCACACCTAAAAGGCCCATTTGAAAAAGAAGCATAACCTAAAAACTACACCAGGCATTCTCAACTGAAATGAGATGGGAAAATGTCACAATCATTTCCTGTAAATATTCTGAATTTAAAGCAACGTCATTTTGACTACTGCACTCCTGTGAGTAGGTTTAATCAACATGAACATTCAAGTAAAATGAATTTTAGTGACAATATTCATGAGCGGATTCCACACTGGAAAATGAGCCAAAAGCAGCAAAAATTTTAATGTTGGTTTATACTGAATTGTGTAATTCAAAGTTTGTTTAGTTCTGGGGTTGCACAAATTGAAGTTTCAAGCTACTAGGAATTGTCTTTGATCAACAGAAGTGGGATTCTGAGTTTGGCAACAAACAGACAGACCATTCAGAGTAACTGCACATGGTTGATTTTTATGCCAGACTATTTCATGATCCATGTCCAGATGGAGTTCTCTGGATTATTTTAGTAGTTATAGGGGGCTTATAGAAAAAATGGGAACAAGCTTTTCAGTAGGGCCTGGAGCAAGAGGGCAAGGGACAATGGTTTTAAATTAAAAGAGGGTAGCTTCAGAAAAGATACAGGAAATCAATTTTTTACACTGAGTGTGATGAAACACTGGCACAGGTTACCCAGAGGAGTGGGGGAGGCCCCATCCCTGGAAACACTCATGGCCAGCTGAGAAGGGGCTCTGGGCAACCTGCTCTGCCTGAGGATGGCCCTGCTCATTACAGGGGGGTTTCACTAGGTGAGCTTTAAAGGTCCTTTCCAACACAAAATATTCCATGATTCTACCATTTACCTTACTGTCTTGGGTTAGAAATGCAAGACGTGTCTGGGCTGTGTGTCCTGTCCCCTCTGTCAGAGCTGGGCAGCTCACAGCTGAGCACCACAGAAGGACTTCACTTGGACTTCATGTGTTGGTCTTTTCTACAGAAATAAGAGTCTCTTTCTAAGGTATAAAACTGAAGGGGAAAAAATAGAAAAACAAAATGCAGTGGCAGAACTGGAATTAAGTGTTGATTTCCCGCTCTGACAAAGATATTTTCTAACCTCCCAGATCTCACTAGTGGCCAGTAGTAGCAAAGAAGTTGGTTCTGCAGACCCAAGTCCCAACAAAATTAGAAAATACAGAAGTAGACCATGACACTCCCTATATTACTAGTATAAAACATCAGTCTGACTCACCAGCATTAAAACCTCTCAAAATGGGCAGCTGTAAACTAACAAAGTTGCAGTCACAAACAAGATCCCACATGAGCACACAAGCACAAGGATGACACTGATGCATCAGGGTGAGCAGCAATTATTCTGATGCAGGTGTGTATAAAATCAGCAGAAAGCTCTGAATCAGACTCTGATTTTTCCTTTTCATCTGTTATTGCTTTGCATGCTGAGGTTAGTTAAAGATGAAAAACATAATTAACCTTGTTTTAAGCCAGTGTGTAGTTTGGGAGTAGAATATTTGTGCACTAAGTGACAGGAGTGGGGACTTCCCACTTGTTTTCAGGGCTGAAATAACACAGGGCAGGGCATTAGGACAGCATCCACGGCTCAGGAAAAGCCAAGGAAAAAAACCAAAGAAAAGCCAAGGAAAAAGGGTGAGGGAGCCCTGGGAGTCAGGGGTGTTCCCAAAGCTCAAAATTAAAAATGTCTTGTGATTCTTGTGAGGAGCTGAGAAACCAGAGTGGGACTGGAGGAAAAAGAACCTGATTTATTGTGGCACTTCTCTAGTTCTCCCACCTGAAATGACAGAAAGAAACTGACTTATAAAAAAACCAAAACAGCAACACATAGAATGCAATCATATGAGTGAAATAATATCTTAAGGAAATGTCATTCTTCCCCCAAATCAAGTACACACTCTGAACTGATTTCAACACTGCTTTTAAAACACATAAAGCTCCATCCAGCATCTGAAATCAAAACTACAAACACAGATGGAGCTGAAAATGCCTATTTTTCCTTTGAAAATATCTAACAGCTGTTAAAACAGACACCAAATGGTAAAAAGGTGGAATAAATGCAGCAAAGAAGCAGCATTGACAAGAAAAGGATAACATCTCAGCCAGGGAGAGGACAAGAACAGTGAAAAGGCATATTCACCTACATTTATACACTTGTTTCTTTTTAAAGGTTTGAGAGGTCTGTCAAATCAAGGGAATAATGGTCATGAGAAAAAGAGTTCCTTGAGTTAAAAGCAAACTTCTTGCTCTGTTAGTGTGTAATGTCCTGTGCACTGAGACCAATGTCTGCCCAGGCATGCCAAACAATCCTGCTTTAAATCACCGTCAGACATACATATAAATGTAGATTAGCTCTAGATACAGATTAGATATAAATATAGATAAATATATTTGTTTATTATACAGATTATATATAGCTGGAAAAAAAACCTTTTCTTTGTATATCTAGGCTGAACAGAAGTGGAAAACAGACAACAACCAAAGCAAAATAAATGTAAAAACCCAACAAAGCTCAGGACTTAACCAGGTGCTGTGGCATGCCTTCCTAAGGTTGTGCATGGACCATCATTGCCATTTACCATGAGATCATGGTTTCACAAACATGGGAATGCCTCATTTATGGAAATCCTTGGAAGGATTTCTAGGATTTGTAGGAATCCTTCTGGTCTTTCAGCTGTGGGTGATTCTAAGAAATGATTGAGCAACTTCACAGAATCTAGATCCATCTGCAGAATGTTTAAGCTTATCAAGGGTGTACAGCAGTTTAAGATATTTTACCTTTTAGATTATTTTCCCTGTCTTAAGATAGAGGAAATTATATATCTGTATCTTGACTTCTAAATATGCATTCATGAGAGGAAGTTCGTAATTTGGAATTCCACAATCTTCATCTCCCAGTCATTACCTGGGACAGACGTGAGACTCAGAGATCAACTCTGAAGGGTTCCAGGTTCACCTCAGAGGTTAGAAAAGGAATTTTTTTTTCCTATGTTGATCTTCCCTGGTGTTGCAGCTGATTATTTTGTGGAAAATAAGGCAGCATGTGGTGTCATAGGACAGAATCAAGGAAATTCAGACTTCCCAAGGTGTCTGCTCTCAGGGCAAGCTCTCTGTCCCCTCAAGCAGGAGCTCTGGAGTAAAGTAAAATGTCACTGGACTGAAAAATCAAATATTAAACTCTCTGTGCATCACTGGCTGTGCCTGTAAATAGGAGCTGGCAAATTGTGTGCCCCTCTTAGGGGTAAAGCAATACTGAAGTACAGAATACTGCTCTGTGCACTTGGGTGAAATTTGCCTGCAAAGCACACATAACCACTGTGCAAAAATCAAACATACAGAGGAAAGAATCTGCCTGCTGTGACACACACACTCACTCTTGAATTCTGCAATCATCACACGCTTACACATAAGGCAGTTAAAAAGAAAAAGAAAGCTTGGTAAATGTGATGAAAAATAAAAAAAAAACTGTAGAAAAAGAAAAATGGGAGGGGGGAAAAGTGAAGAGGTGGAGAATTCTGAGAAACAGAGGCGTCCAGCTTGGCTTCAGATACAAAGGGAGCTTTTTAAGCTCCTAACACGTGGTTTTCTAGCAAATAGTGTTAGCATGGCCATGAGTTTTTCCAAACAAGGCATTCAGTCAGGAAAATTATGAAATCAAAGAAATACAAATTGCCTCAAATGCAGTAGGCTCATGTAAGTTAATTAGAATTAATTTTTAAGTCAGACTAAGTAGAATTATTATTCCAAAAGAAGATGTCTGTCATAGGCTCCACTAAATGGACACAGAGCTATGTTAAGGGTATTGTTTTCAGCTGGAAAAAGTAGTTTCAAGAGAAAAAGGAGGAGGAACTTCTTTTAAAAAGAACAGTTTTATGTCTGGTTTCCAATCCCAGTGTAAATAGGCTGAATAGTGGAAGTGAAATGAGTTGTTTTAGATGGTTTTACAAGCACAGACATCAAGCACCAGACCTCCCTGTGTCCCACCCACCCAGGTCAGAATCCACTCTGGCCTGCCCCGAGAACACACTGTAGGATTGGTCACACAGGAAAGCAGATGGGAGGAGAAAGGAGGGGAAAATAAATTACTTTTATTTGTATTTAATAAAATTTGGCATGCAGGCTCGATGTGACTCAGTGCTGAACATCTGGGATTGATCATAGGATCACAAACTGAGAAGTAGTCATCTGGCTCCTAGAAATAAACACATTCAGTCCCTCTGCCCCAATGTTGCTTCCTTAATGATAGAATGCAACAGCCATTTTAAGTCCTTTTAATCTTTTCAGCCACAGTATTTTTCACTTTTTAGTAATTTTTAGTATTATTTTTTCACTTCAGATGATGGAAAATTGCGTTTGACCTCGGACTGGCAGCATTTGGGATTGCCCACAGAACTGATTCACTACTTTCCTCCAAATTTTTCTGGTGCAATGTTAGCCTTACAAGTGCATTTCTTGCTGATTCCATCCCTCATGAGCATCATGGGAGCAGCACAGTACATGATGCAGGATGCAGCCCTGCTGAGCTACATTGACCAGCGTTTTCTGTCTCTGGAGGTATGTGCCTGATGAATCCTTCTGCAGCAAAAGAGGTTTGAAAATGTGTGGATGTTCTGAGGCCAGGACAGTCTGTATGATATATCAAATCAGGAGGGTAAATTTCCAGCTTTTTCCAAAGAATGAGCAAAATTGTTGCTAAAACTTTAACCGTAATGATCCCAACTTACCACATCATTTGTTGCAGGATAAAATTTCTTAATGTTATGTTTTTGTTCTGTTATAATCTGTTTTTTGTTTTGTTTTTTTTTTTAATGACATCAGTGAATTTAGCTAAAAATGCAAATGTTTATGTAGAACTGTCACAGACCATCCTAAGGAGCTGTATAAACATATTGCCACCAGCAGAAGTGCTGTCAAGTATTTATTAGCAAGGAGATAGAAATTTATCAGGTATTTTTCCTGTGTGCAGATATCCCTACCTGGAAGGGTAGTTTAAGACACATTCATGCAAATCAGCAGTGTATCTGCACTTCAAATAAACCCTTAATATCTGAGAGACTGAAATGGAGTCCTTTCAATTCCTTGAATTAATTTCAATCACTTATATAAATGCACCAGTTCTTGCTTTTTTTTTTTTTTTCTACAGTAAAAAGCTACCAGTACTGCAAAATACCTCTTCAGTTTTGGTGTGTTATGGTCATATATTGTTTATTTTTAATTATTGACGTGTCCCTGGCTCCTGGCTTGCATTTTCAGACTTACAGAGAAGCTCTAACTTGCCTGATTTGAAGTCCCTTTTTGTACAGAGCCCTCATTAGTCTTATCTTCTCAACACAGAAGAATTAACCTGATATTCTCTTCCCACTGCGTAGACGGAGATTTACATTTTCTTTGCCACTCTAGGAGTAACTTCCCCTGGCAATTTCTATTCCTTTGGCACCCATTAAAAATGAGATAACCTGTGGCATTTGGTGCAAGGGGCACAAAAGGAACAGGACCGAGAGTGAGGCAGATACTGATGACAGCACTTGAAAGCATTTAAAATATAGGTTTTGTAGAAAGCAATTAAGTAACTTTCTGGAGACTTATGGTCTTGTATAAAATGGGGGAGAGAGAGGAGGTAGCACAGAAAGCACAGCTCACAAAGCAAACCAACCAAAGATCTGCTCAAATTCCTCATCTTGCCAAAGTGGCAGCTGGGCTACTATTTTCAGGACACCTATGAAGCAGCTGCATTGCAACAGAAACTTATTACTTACCTTGGAAAACATTGATAATTTGAATTTAGTTGTAAAGAAATAGGGTTTTTTTGCTTTCTATGTTTGGGGGGGTGGTTTTGGCTCTTTGGTTTTTTGTTGTTGTTTTATGTTGTTTTTGTTTTGTTTTTTTTTTAATACACCCAATAATTTGAAGGAAAAAAAGAAAAAAAAAAAAAAACAACACAAAACTTCCTCAACTGTAGCATTTCAGTATTTTCATTTTCACATTTAAATGGGTGAAAAATAGCCACACTAGATTCTGGCCTGGTCAGAAGAGGTGTATCTATGTGAAATGTTCATGGCTATAGATTTCTGGCAGAAAACTCTTTGAGAATGCTTCACCAGTGGTCGTACAGGAGGAGTTCCAGAAAGTTCATGGAAAGCAAGTCATCAGAGATCATGAGCCCTTTGTTATCCATCAGAGCACTTTTCTTTCTTTAGGCAGCAAAGCAACATATCTGTCTGTCAGTAACCATGTCTGTGGCCACAGCTCTCTTCACAGAGAGCAGCAGCACAACCTCTCCAAGGACTTTTCCTGGGGAAGGCAGTGAAAAGCTCAGACAGAAGAAGAGAAAACAATTCTCATCCCTATCCACTGCTCCTGTAGTTTGGCACATGTGGAATGTGTTATGGAGATTGTTTACCCAAAGTGATTTGTTAATTGGACACTGGTGAAGGTTGTTTTGATTCCTTGGCCAGTGGGGCCAAAGCTGTGTCCTGGCTGTCTCCAGACAGTCACAGGGTTTTCTTTAGTATGGTGTAGTATTCTTTAGTATAGTATCGCTTTAGCATAGTATTAGTGTAATATAGTATAGCTTAATAAAGCAATTGTTCAGCCTTCTGAATCATGGAGTCAGAGCACATTATTCACTGTGTTGGGATCATCCTGAAACTATACATGTCAAGTCAAAAAAAAGTGGATTTTTGTCCAGGCTTTTGAAGTCTGTGCCAGTCTGAGATGTTCTCCTGGCACAGACACCCAGCAAGAGCCGCCTGGGCTGGAATAGGTGGGTGCAGGGCACTGGGAAGGAGGGAACAGCAGGGCTGTGAAAGTAATCACAAGTGGGGTCCTGATGTACGCAGAATATCCACGTCTGTCCATGTGTTCTCTTCCCATGTTCTGACTCAAGAAGAGGCTGGAGAAGTGCAGCCAAGACGTGCTGGAATACGTGGATGAGTTCCGGGAGTTCTCCAAGGTGGTGCTGTCCCGCCTAGCAGGGCTGAGTTCCGACAAAGCTGAGCTTAAGGGGGAAGTGGAGAATTTGCTAACGAGGGTCGAGCACGCCCAGAGGGACATCGACTATTTTGGATCTGTCATGGACTCCAACGCCTGCGTGGAAGTGCACGAGGACCTGCTGAAACAGCAGCTGCTGGAAGAAGCAGAAGAAAAAAAGAGACTTAAACTCATGTTTAATGCAAGTAAGAACAGTTTATTTTTCAGAACTTCGGTGTGGACAGTCCCACGTGTGCATGCTGATACAGGGATAACAGATTTTCATTAGCTGTGTGAATACCACAGATTATTGCAAAGGGGCTTGGGCTGTGTAAATACCAGACTTATAAAACCCATGTATATGCAAAAAGAGTATGGGAGAGGGAGGGAGGGAGGAAATACAGTTCAAACATTTACTTTGCAGAAATTCTACTGCATATCAAATTAGTTCTTTGGAAGTTACTTTTTATTATAAAATAAGGTAAAATCCTCTGAAGGTGTGTTCTTGCAAAATCCCAGAAAAACACATTCTGAGTACTGCAGCTGTACTAAAGAATTAATGGTGGTCTTTGCTTTTTGGACCAGGCAGGGTCAAAACCTCAACTCAAAAGTAAATTCATGAGTTACTAAACTACTTAATTTCCTTCTACAATTTTTACCTGCTTTACTGTTATGCTCTGTCATCCTTCCTCTCCTTGTCCCCTCCTTTAATAGGAGAGCACACTGGCTTGGCTGTCAGCAAAGCTTAGTTCTGATTTGAAAATTAGATGTTACAGTACCCAGCATGAAGAATATATACACAATCTATGACTTTTTTTAAAACAAATGACATTTTATAATTATCTTTACCTTAAAAAGTTGTGGTATGGATGTAAACTATGTATTATAGACATATTTAGTCTGTCTTCTTTTCATAGTAGTAAGAAATTAAAAGTAAATAGTAAGAAATACAAACTGAAAATTTTTAGAAGTGAGTGAAAGAACCTTAGCATATACAATTCCACTGACTTCAGCAGAATTAGGCTGATTTAATTTTACACATAAATTTACAATTTCTTCCTTAGACTTTTCAAGCAAATCAGTATTAAGGCAGATGCTTACAGAAGCAATCACCTATTCTGCTTCTGGGCTCTCCTCATACTCCACAATTCAGTGCTCTGAATAACAATAGTTCTGTTTTCCTTTTAGAGAACTTTTGAACATTGGGCATTTTTTTCAGAGAGGAAAAAAAATCGGGAATTTTTAAATTGACTGTGGTTAAGGCACTTTGAAAATTGTATCTTTCTGAGAGTTTCAGAGGGGAAAAAATTACTTTCCATTTTCCTTTGGTGAAAATTATTACTTTTAAGTTTACTGTAGCAGCTCGTGGTAACTTTATTTTCAATTTGTTCCCTACTGTCAGTACTAGTCAGATGCTTTTCCCATTGAATTTTATGTCAAAACTATTCCCTGTGCAGATTTTACAGCACTTAGAAAAAGTAGGAAGATCCTCAACTCTAGAAAATAGCAGCTCTGCTTCTATGCTGTCATGTCTTAACCAGACTCTATGATTATGTTTGCTGAGTCTCTTCAAAAATCTGTTTTTGCTGAGTCACTTCAAAAACCCTAGAAAAGAAGGTTTTTAATTCCAGCTTTGTTACTGGGTTTGGGTCAAATTCGCACAGAAAACAACAATCAGACAAAAATCTGGTAATTTCCCCTGCAGAGGAAGATGCTGCTATGTCTGCCTAGAGTTTTTGATTCAGCAGCTTTAAATTTTTTTAATCTATCTAATCAATAAATGTTAGATTTGAGAGAGCTGTTGTGGCTTGCTCAGGGAAGGCACTTCCAGAGTGAGGACTCCCAGGAGAAAAAAAAAAAAAAATCCACTTTGTAGCAGCAATATCCAAAAGCTTTGATTAGAGGGTATCAATGCACACAAATTACATAAAGATTGCTTTCTACAGGCAACTGGAGCCTTGCCACTGACTTCAATAGGTTCGTATCAGGCCAAACAGGGGGGCTGGTTTTGCTTTCTCCATTTCATCTGCTGCCAGAACTTCCTGCCTTAGAGCTTTGTTTGTCCTGTTTACTGAAATGGCTGCACTCCTCTGAAAGCAATTCTTCCAACTTCAAATGCTGCGCCCTGTAATTTATGAGTGCCTTTGGTAAATGAGCTTGTTAATACGCTTTGCAATCGTTTTTTCCTGGGAAGGATGCTGCTTGATAAGGATCTCAGAGTCTGAATGCCTGAGTCCTCCCAGGCTTGGTGCTTTCTGGTCTGAAAGGTCTCTGCAGAGTGTGCACAGAAGGTGAAGAAGCCAGAGCTGTGACTTGAGGCCAGTTTTAACCCTACAGTGAGGTGAAGAGCTGGGTGGTTCCACCAGCCACGCTCCTGGCACACAGACATCACACCAGCTCCTTCCAAGGCCACCCCAGTGCACGCACACACCTGGCCGTGTGATCTGTTTTTTGGTCTTGTTGCTTTGTGTGCAGGTGTTGGGAAGGTGAATGGGAAGATAGCCCAGATTTTTGGCTTTCAGTTATGCTGATCTCTTTTTGTTTCTATTTATACTATAAATGCATAAAAAAAGGCTGTCTGAGAATAAGACCAGTCCTGAAACAAAAATACTATACATGTGGATAATGGATTTTAATCTGTATGCCTCCAACAAAAAATAAATCTGATTACTTTACTGTGTTGGTCTAAACCAGAAGTCAGTTCTCTGAAGTAAAAATTACAGCCCTGTAAAAGGACAGACAAGAATAATCACAAAGTCACTAACGGTGCTCTTGGTCTCCTCTCAGACACACAAATATCCAAATGTTTTGGACAACACTGGTGTAATAGAACAAAACCCAACACTCTACAGGTAGATGAAGATACTACAATTTTCTTAGCAGGAATATATAATAATAATAAAATTATATTATTCAAATGTATTATATATTATTACATATTATATATTCATGTATAATCATTATAGAATATATTATTATACATTATATATTATATAATATATATTATATATTTATTATATGTTATCTATTATACATTATATATTATTATATTGGTATTTTATATTCAAATACATTATAGCATTATTCAAATATCACATAAAACTATTTTCAGCACTACTTACCATAGCCACACTGCTGACACCTTTACTGATATATTGACTCAGGCTTCAGAGATGAATTAAAAGGAAACTAAATAATTCAAAGAAAGGAAACTAGAAAATTTACAGATATTCTAATTTTTTTGTCTTTGGTTATTTCCTTGCAGGTTGTGACCACATGCTTGCAGGTATTAGGTCCCTGAAGGTAGTTAAGAAGACTGGAGGGAAGCATGGCTCTTGGATGAAAGATCCTGGCAAAAAGCACGGGAAGATTTATTTATTAAGTGGCTCTGTAAATAATGTGATTCTGGAATTTGCCAATATCATGGCTTTCATGGAAAACAATCAGACTCTGAAGGCTCGCAGGGTCCCCTTGCCACTGCCCTGGGAAGGAACTGGCCACGTCATCTATCAGGGCTTCCTCTTCTACCACAGGCACGGCTCCTTGAACGAGATCGTGAAATTCAACATCCAGAGAAGAAACGTGGCTGACCAGATGCTGCTGCCAGGGGCTGGGAGGATTCCTGCCTACCAGCTCTCCCCACAGACAAAAATAGACCTGGCTCTCGACGAGCAGGGGCTGTGGGCCCTCCATGCAGAGCCAGAGACCGGGGGGAACATCGTCCTCACCAAAATCAACCCCGCAGCCATGGCCGTGGAGCACAGCTGGGACACGCCCTGCAGCAGCCGGGATGCTGAGGCAGCTTTCATGGCCTGCAACACCCTCCACGTGGTCTACAACTCTCCTTCTGGGGGCTCCTCCCGCATCCAGTGTGTCTATGATGTTTTGGGTGCTCTGAATGCTCACACAAACCCAGGACTGCATTTCCCAAAACGCCAGGGTGGCCACTCCACCGTACACTACAATCCTAAAGAAAAGCAGCTCTTCGCTTGGGGTGATGGATCCCAGATCATATACAAACTCCACACAGAGCAGAAAGTTTAAAACCTTTAGCAGCTTTTTCAAGCAGACCTAAAAGCCACCAGTCCCAGGTCAACACAGCCTTTTAGTGTGTATTAAAACTACATTATTCCCAGCTGTTACAACTTTCATCCATTTTACATAATTTAAGACTTATGTACCCCAGTAATCTTAATGTCCAATAAAGAAGATGTGAAGACTGAATTAATTACATGATGACTAAACACCACACATGCACAACTCGTCCCCCCCACCTCCAAATTAAAGTCTAAGGTTAATTGAAAAAAATATATATAGCCCATTTCTGACACGTTCTCTTCCTATTGAAACTATGTTTTCTGTTTCAATGCCATGGAAATCAAATCAGAAATCCTTCCTGTCCAAAACACAGTTTGACAACCTTCACTACTCTGAAGATCACTATAGAAAACCTTCTAGTAAGCTATATAAAATCACATGCTCCCAGAGAAATTAGATATCGGTTTTAACAGGAGAGGTTTATTTTACCACAAAAAAAAGTGTAGGAATATACAGCCCCACAAACATGGTTTAAATTTAACACAGAACTCTCATACATCACATCAAGGCTACTCCTATTCATTGAACTTCTAGAGTATTTCCATGAAAATTCTACACTTCTTATCCATATAGCTGTACAGACCACTATGGATCCTGCCAGTACATTAGCTGCAGCCAAATATTCACTTTTTTCAGCTTCAAGTCACCACTTCTCACTATTTTTTGAGCACATCACTGTTTGTGTGTCAGAAGGAATATTCCTAGGTGAACTCTTCAGTATCACATACTACTTTTAAAGGTTTTACATCTCACTCTTTGGTGTTTTTCTCATTAATTCTCTTTCAGCATGCACTTGTGAGGCATTTTCCCCAATGTTTCAAGTCACTTCCATTGATTATAGCAGAATCTTTCTCATCCTATCCTCCACCTCCAGGAAAAGGTGGCTCAGAGGAGCACAACAGTGCAGGTGAGGGCATGGCACTGCTCAGTCCTGAGCTTGTCCAGGTATTTTTGTTTCAAAAATAATGTTAAAAATGTTAGATAATGTTTTGTTTAAAAAAAGCTTTTAATGTGAAATACAGGTACAGACTGTATTTTAATGACAGCTGCATGTCTAATAGCAAACAAACAAACAAACACACAAAAAAAAAATCCCCTCTGAAAAACCACAAATAATGGCACTTGAAAAGCAATCCACAGCTGTTGCAACAGAAAACCCATTTTGTTCATTACTCTGAGAGAGCTGTTGTTCTGTTTAAAAATAGCTTCCAGAGAAGAGCCAGACATCAGGGAATGATTTGAGAAGGAGTTCCAGAGTACAATTAGGCGTGTATAGACTGCTGGGCTGCACCAGTGACACTCTGCCTTCAGCTGAAGGAGCGTTGTCATTGTGAGCAGGGTTGGTGACTGGAGCAGTGCTCCTGTGTCACAGCAGACTCGGGGTGCACAGCCACAGACACCCTCAGGCTGCAAGGGAGGTGGGCTGGCACCGCTTTCCTGGCTTAAAGGCAATATTTGGCCTTTTATCCCTCCTCTGTAAAATCACAAACATGGATATGAAAAGTGGTGTCAGCCACCTCTGTGAGAACTTTTACTGGGAAAGATGTGTAACTTTCTTTATTTAAGAAATAAGGTCTTTGGGTGTAAGTAGGGATTGAATCTGCTTTTTAGAAAAGGTTTTCTTGGGATGAGTCTTTGGGTGTAAATAGGCTTTTTAGAAAAGGTTTTCTTGGGATGTGGTTTGGGCCACACTATCACACAGCAGAGGAAGCCCATGTCATTATTCTAGAGAAAGATTTCAATGTGCAATCCTCAAAAGTTCAGGCAGGGTCTTCTCTGAGCCCTGCTGCCCTGGAAATCCAAACTTCATGATGAATTAAAGCCCAAGAGGGAGTGGAGCACCGAGACATCCCATCAGCAACAAAGCGAGGCAAAGCCAGCCTGCACAAGAGCTCCCAGCACTCTGTAAAACAACTGCTCATTGTCAAACCCTGCCTGGATCCTGCTTCCCCACGCCCTGGCTCTGTGCCAGGAGTGTGAGGACACCCCATGTCCTCTGCATGGAGCCCCAAGGACAGGGCAGGACAGGAGCTGGCATCCTTGGGGCCCCTGTGCCAGCACCACACGAGGAGTCTGTGGGAGGCACTGAGCACAGTCCCTGGAAGTGAGAAGGGGGAGCACTTTTCAGTCTGAGGTTCACTCTTGCTCTGTTCTATAGTTTTAAGATTAACTTTAGCATTCACTCAAGCAGGCACCATTTCAGAAGAACACACACTACGTGTTTGTTACAGGTGGGTTTATCACTAGAAAATACAACTGTTGTCACCCTGCTCTGTCACAGTGCATGTTTTTCCCCCTGTGCTGTTTCCCACTCAGTTGCATGGAAGCTCAGCAAAGAAACTGCAGAATCAAAACCATTAAAATGCAGCTCTCTTATTACTGAAGAAATAGCTCCTCCTGAAGGCAGAAATCAGGACCTGTGGCTTTTTGAGTTGTTTGAACTTTCCGTGGGTTTGGATTGCATATAAGAAAGTAACATTGAATTACACTTCCACCAGATTGAGCCCTGAGCCAGAAAAAGGGATGTACAGAATCCCAGAATGAATAAAGTTGGAAAAGATCTCTGAGATCATCAAGTCCGAACTTTGACCAGATGCCACAACACCTCCAGGGATGGTCACACTTCCACCTCCCTGAGCAGCTCTTTCCAATGTCTAATCACCTTTCTGCTGGTGATATCTGGATATTGCTCAGTCTTTTTTCCTGATGTTCATACTGGCAGCATAAACCATGGGTGTCATTTGTCTCAGAATTCATTACTGCAAAATATATCAAAAGCCCTTGTTGTTTTAAATCTCTTTTTAAAATAATTTTGAACAAGCAAAACCTTTGTGTGGAAAAGGTTAATAAAAGAACCTTCTCAGCTGCTCCCTGTGCAAGTGTCATATTTATTGCAGATAACCATCTGCTTTTCCTTCTTATTTGAGGCTGACTTCTCCATGGGACTGACCCCATCTAATGAGTAAGTCCCTACTCCATGACTACAGGACTGGGGCTTTTCTTTTGGCTTTTTGAACTGTTTCTTAAGAGTAGGAGAACAAGGGGGAAAAAATGAAAATTAAAAATACAAATGCTATAATAAAAAAATAAATTAAAAAAAAAAACACTGGCAGAGTCAAGCAGGAGCTGAGCCCTGTGTGTCAGGGTGGTGGCACAGTCCCATCCCATGGGGGCTCAGCCCTCCTGCAGTGCCAGCTGTGCTTCTGCTGGAGCAGGGATCCTGCACAAGGCTGGAGTTTTCCTCTGGAGCTCCAGGGCTGCTGGAGATGGGCCTCCATATTCACATTCTTGTTGCATATTTGTTACCACTACATTCCTAGTCAGTCCGGTAAACAAGTAACTTCTTATTAAATTTCAAAGAAATGTACAAGTTGTGGTTGGTAATTAATGAGAATTATGGAATCATTAAGGCTGGAGAAGAGCTCCAAGGTCATGGAGTCCAACCTCGGCCCGCACGCTGCCGTGCCAAACGAAGCACAGCCCCGAGTGCCAGGGCTCCTCTTCCTCTGAACGCCTCCAGCCCCACCACATCCCCGGGCAGCTCCTTACGATGCTGAACCACTCTTTCAGTGAAGACATTTCTTCCTCATGTCCAACCTGATCCTCCCCTGGTGCAGCTTGAGGCCGTGTCCTCCCATCCTGTCACTGGCTGCCCGGGAGGAGAGGCTGATCCCCACCTGGCTCCAGCCCCCTGTCAGGCAGGTCTAGAGTGGTAAGGTCTCCCTGAGTGTTCTCTTTTCCAGGCTAAACACCCCCAGCTCCCTCAGCTGGACTCCCCAGACCCTTCCCAGCTCGGTTGCCCTTCTCTGGACTTACCCCAATGCCCCTCCTGCAGTGAGGGGCCCAGAGCTTTAAGTATACACTTTGAATAAATCTTTTCCTCATCAAGTTCTTACTTAAAACAATGCTTGTTTTGCTAACCAACAGGTATGAAGATTGTATTTTTTTCTATACAAGCTATTCAAAATATGCTGGCAATGGTCATATGCTTGTATGTTTATATTTTGATATTTGAAAAACAGATGAGATCTAATCTTTTTATGAAAAAACATTTGAGTTCTCCCCATCCACCTGATAAACCTCCATAGCTTTATCAGTCAGAGCACAGCACTGACATCCAGCTGGGACAATTAAGTTGCAGTTTTCTTACTGGATATGATTTTACTGACTCCCTCTAATGGAGGAAGAGGGCAAGGAAGGGGCTGCTTATCATGTCCACAAGCCAACTTTTTGGTGAAATATTTATATTTACTTTGTCTGATATTACTCAGAACACCAAATTACCTTCAACACTGTAAATGTCAGTACCCATAAACATTGCTTTTCATTTCAGCCCTGTTTGTGTTCAAACTAAAAGAATTTGTGGGGCTGTTTGGTGAGGACCTACAATATCACATGACTGGCTAGCCAAAAACAACAAGGAATGCTCAAAAACAAGATGTGAATACTTTTTTAAAAGGAATGTGGCATGTACACAGAAGGAGAATATCTGATGATACAAAAGCAAAGCAGAAGCTACATGCCTGCCCTTATTCATTCCATTACTTCAGGAAAACAAATATTTCATCTGTGTACAGCTGCACTGAGTAAAGCCAGTGGCTTAGGTTCTCCTATGGTGAACTAGGCTTTTGGAATTAAGGAGATTGTTAAAGGAGCCTGAGAAAGTGAACATCTTCCTAAGTATTTCAGCTAAAATCCCAAAAGATCTTAAGATTTTAACAGAAAAAAAATAAAAAATCATTTACAACAGCAAAAAATGAAACACTTCTAAGGCTGAATCCATGAGCCACAATTCAGGTCTGGATCAGAAAGCCACTGTCTAAATCTATAGTTATGACAGAAATGCAGCCATTGGCGTACCAGCAAGTTTTTGATACTGAGGTACTTCTTTTGGTTGGACATAAATTCACACTAGGAAGAAAATAATGGTAATTAAAAATATGCAAAAAATTCTAGTTCCATGTCAGGAGCAGAGCACTTGCAGTGAAACAAATATCAGAACTACAATGAAGATGACTGACCATCATTATTTCCTGTTCAGAGAGGATTTTTTGGGAGATAGAACCCCCTAACTATTTAATAATATTACAAGTCAAAGGCATTAAGAAGCTGCAAA